CCACCTATATATATATATATATATATATATATGATCATGGCATGGTCATTATATATATATATTATGATCACGGCATGGTCATAATATTACTAAAACCATCTATGAACAGTGCATTTATGTACTTCAATCAATACTAAGGAAGAGAAAAAAATCGATTACTTGTCTAGTCTAGAAAACTTCCAGTGCTACAATTAATTACCTGTCACTTGCGAGAGCTGATGAGAGTTCTTCCGCAAACAATCATATGGATGAGCGTTAACCTTCATGAAACTACACATTATGTTAAAATCGAAGTCTCTGAATGCTTTGACAGCTCCTCCAGCAAACTACTCCTCGGGTAGACAAGCTTGTTAGCCATGACAGATGCAATACAGCTTTGTGCCTATCTGGAACAACCTGCTTATTCTGTTTCCATCAAGGCTTCAGTTTCACTGCCTTTTACCTAACAACAAGTCCCACCCTCACATTAGAAGCTTTATCAAAGCTTCCAAAAACATCCTCTTACTGTCCCATGTTATCCACAAAACAATTTATTCACACATCTCCTTCCAGAGATGGTTGTACCTTTTCCTTTTCTTCACTGGGTCAAAAGGTTGTTATCACTGCAATACCCAGAAATGATACTAACATCAAGTTGAGACAATTCTTTGGTTGTTTCTTTCCAATGGATGTCAGGAACTCAGACAAAGGTTTTGATCCCCAACCTACAAGCTCCTTAGCTTTGACTTACCTTTATTTTCATCACGTATTGTTTTTTATTGTTTCTCTTCCTTCCTTTCATTAGTCTATGTTCTTTCATTCATTCAAATTATCAGACATGAGAAGTTTATCTGCAAAATCACAAATCCCCCGTCCTTCTTCAGAATCATCATTTAAGCCAAAGCCATAGTTCTCTTCCAACTCAAAATTTATCTACGTAATTCTATTCTCTTCTTCTTCAAAATATTTGTTTTGGTCATCATAAAGATGCTTTGATGTGCCTATAGGCATCCCACCAGCAGCTTTAACAAGGAAAAAACCCCAATAGTGCTACCAATAATCACCGCAAGAACAAATGCCATTCTTGAAGTGATGAAAGCGGCCAGAATCTCTTACAACAATCTTGCGTCCTACAATCTTTGACATAAGCTTAATAACAGAGTGACAATCCCCACATACACGAAGATTCTTCATGACTGTTATTGTGCTACCCTCCACGGTGCTAACTAGCCCAAACGCAATAGCAAGCCTCTCACTGTGAAAAGACAACATCTCTTCCTTCTGCTCATCTTCGACATCATGTAGAGCAAATTTTTGATCAGGAACATAACCAAATTCCTTCAACTTTTTTCCCAACCAGTCCAGCTTGTCATATATTCTCTCACTTAGAGGATGGGATCTGTCTGCAGAAAGAAACTCATGTTTCTTTCCCCTCAAAACTACCCAACTGGATCCTGGTTGTTTTGCAAGTCCTCCCTGTTTCATCTTCACTCTCATTCTAGAGACATCAGCCCATCTACCAGCAGATGCATATATATTAGACAACAAGACATAGGCAGCACTACAATTTGGCTCTAAATCAAGAATATGTTTTGCAGCTCTGTGTACATGACGACAAGAGAATTACCAACGAAGACATCAGTTTCCAACCCTAGTTTGATAGTCATAGTGTGGATCTCTTTACCCTTATCAAGAGCCTCTAATCTACAACATGCATTCAAAGTACTAGAGAAAGTAGATTGATTTGGAAGAACACCCATCTTAGTCATGTCACCAAAAACCCTCAATGCATCCTGATGCTTATTATTCCATACATATCCCGTCAAAAGAGCCGTCCATTTTACCACATTTTTAGTCAGTGTCTCATTAAAAATCTTGTGAGCATCCTCTATTTTCATGCAATTTGCATAAAACGTTATAAGTGATACTGATATAAACTCATGAAAAAAACATCCTAACTTAACAACATGGCCATGAACTTGAACACCCAAATTAAACTCCACTGCATTGGCACAAGCTGACAACACACAAGCAAACGTGCTCCAAGTTGGCTCAACACCAGAACGCAACATCTTCTTAAAAACAAACAAGGCTTCTTCACTCTTCCCATTTAGATCAAGCCCTCCAATCATCGAAGTCCATGAAATGACATCTCTAACAGGCATTTCTTCAAACAACCTGACACCCTCTTCAACTCTCCCATTCTCAAAATACCCATGAACCATAGCATTCCACGCCGCAACATCCTTTACTTGCATATCCAGAAACAACCTCTGGGCAAGCTCGACTCTCCCAAACTTCAAGTAGCCATTAACCATCGTCGTCCAAGAGATAACATTCTTCTCAGGCATTTCATCAAATAACCTTGTAGCCATACCTAAATCCCCACAATCTAAACACCCTTTTATCATCGAATTCCAAGAAACCACATCTCTCACAGACATCCTATCAAACAGTTTCAAAGCATCACATAGCCTGTCATTTCTTGTATACCCAGCAATCATCTTGGTGTACAGATGAAGATTTGGAGACGGGATTTTATCAAAAATGAGGCGAGCTTGGTCCAGTCTTTGGTTCTTAAGGTGATTAGCGAGTGAGGTAGTGTAAGAGAGAGTGATTGTTCTAGTGTAACGCGTAATATGAGCCATGAAAATGATGAAGGGTTTGCACTTCGCAGGCTTTGGTGTGAATAATGGGAAATACAAGGAGTGAAGTTGAAAATTGGAAAAGCTGGGGCGAGGATTTGAAGTTTTGAAATATGGCGCCAGTCTGGAAGACGAAAGCCAACTGCCATTAATAATCAACACAGCAGGATAACGAAGTTATACCAGTAAACCTCTAGATAACAAATTTACGGAGTTAGTGGCTTGATTAAATAAGGTGTTCATATACATAGCCGAGAGGCAGTGTCCAAACTAATAAAAGGTAATGTTGAATGGAGTAAAGTTTTTGTTTTTTTTAAGAGAAAAAAAGGAAAAAGATGATGATGGAATATTTCTTTGGGAAGAAATCTTAAGTTTCTCTTGGAGAAGATCGAAGAAATTGAAAATTAAGATGTTC